ATATACCTGTACATCAAAGTCCTTCTTGATCGTTGACATCGTACAGGTGGAAAATGAATCAAGATTTGACACCTCTATCTTCATCTCGTCCATTAAGGGAGAATGTGGCGGTTCAGTTCTGTCGGTTTTATGAACTACCCGATGAGAATTTGAGCTAAGTAACTCTGGAACCAAATTTGTCCCCGAGACCTCATCGCGGCTACACAATTCTGAACTTTTGTTTTCTTCCTGTACCGCTTTGCAAGAAGAAACTATTTTTTGTTTCGCAATGGTAATAGATGAGTTGTCTACAGCAAGATTCAGTGATTCAGCAGACTGAGGCAAGACTGCCGCAGACACAATAGGCTGCGCGTCGATCGATGAGTGCATCTCAACTAAATTAGGGTCAAAGATAGGCTTTAGAATGAACTTCGAGTCATTACACTTTCCTCCGTGGATTGTCGATCCTCCCTTAGGAAGGACACCTTTATCATTCATCAAGTTGTTACTTTTAAAATTCCACCATGACTTTCTTGGTTCCGGCAAAACAGGCGTATTATCATCTGCTTTACAGCCCTTTAATGTTGGAACTGTATGATATAAATTCAGTAGAGACGGTGTGTCGATGATGCCAATCGGTCCTGGATTGGTTGAGATGGGTGAACTACCTGTAGCAGCAGGGACTCTCGTTGACTCAACCTTGCTGAGATAATCATTCACCTTGTCACTTATTTTGGCTTTACTGAGGCATCGTCGTTTCTTGAGTGTGCACTTATCGCTATTCACCGATCCCTGACTGGATTCTTTTCGAAATTCAGACTTCAACATTTGAGAATGAGTTTGGTCTTGATTTTGATCTGAGTTCTCAATTACGCTTGAGACCGTATGATGCGGATTAGCATGGTAGAAATTTCGTTTAGAGTCTAATTCCGTTTTTAACGCCTCCTTAAGACGGCGTTTTGTCAGTTGATCTCCATGCGGTGATGAGGCATCCGTTGCCCCACCAGTGTAACCGACCGGAAACTGCGCAGAGGGAGGGGCCCTGAGGCTTAACACTCCGGGTGAACGGGAATGTTTGCCTCGAACCCTTTTACCATAATAGTGACGTGAATGATAACTCTGATGACGCCCTAATCTTTCTTTTCTCTCACCTTTTTGTTCATTGTCAATAAGAAGTTGAATCCACTTCTTGGTAAACTCAATATGGTCCTCTGGCTTCTGCTCAAGCAAAGTCATTGCGAGATTTGAAAGAAGTTCCTCAATGCCAAGTACGGTTAAATACGTTGCATCATCCATCTCCGATAAGGGAAGGCGATGTTTCCAAGTGTTCAATCGTGATGAGGCCATTTTTCTAAAGCCACCAGGACTACTGGTTCTGTAATGCGTGGCGTTCTTAGCTTGATCCAACTGAAGTGGGAAACACTGTGAAGGCAACTCGTCGGTATTATGTCTCCCCTTTGCTCCATTCGCCGTGAAGCCATCAACAGCTTGGGAGGAGGAAGAGGGTAACAACAAAGGTATTTTGTTGATCATTTGTGTTTCTTTTACGCCTTCTTGTTCTTTAATATCATCTTCATAACTTTTTAAAAAACGTTTACCGTCATCCACGTGGTGATTACCCTGTAGTTGAATACTGAGTCGTTTAGCTTCCCACTGTACTATATTTTCACTCGTCTTGGAGCATTTTACAGGCCTCCATTCAAACTCTGAGCCTGAATCAGATTCAGCATCGTTTTTTCCAGTCGTTTTATGATCGTCTATTGCTTGTATTTTATCATGAGTCCTCGACACACCAGATACTTGACTTGATTTGGTAGAAGCGGTGTCAACTTCACTCTGGCGGTGGTTCTCCTCTGTTGATGAGAAGGCTGTATTTGGATAAGTTTTTCGCTGCAATATTTTATCCACATCACTTCCGATTCCGTCCTCAAATAGCCCCGAAATTTTAGTATTTGATTGACAGTCTATCATTTGTTTATCAATTTTGGCAAAGCCAGGCATTGTATCCTGGGTTAATTCCTCTGGAAGTGTTGCTGGAGTAGATTCAGAATGCGACAAAAACAATTTTACTGCATTGTACCCCTTCTTGTGTCCCCATTGTCCTTCATCATTGTGGTTACTGTGATCAGTATGAACAACGGCCTCAGCCCCAGTCTGATCATAGGATAATGCCTTCACTTGAGGGTTCCAAGGCATTTGGCACTAAACTGAAATAAAGAAATATATAATAAAAAAAAATAAGGGAAATGATAGTAATATTAAGCTTGATTTGATTTGTTATGCCAATTGAAAATAATCCTTATGTGGGACTAAATATATATAAACATGTATAGTTTAATATATATATATTGATATATATACAGATATGCATATGTGTGTATGTTTAAGGTTCCTCCTTATTTGCTTATCAATAGTGTGATTATTTTGGCAGGAACTAGTATCAATTTGTAGAGATAAGTATTAAAAAAATTAATCTTCTATAAAAAAAAGTAATAGAGAAAAAGTCAAAAATGAAATGAAATTGTATAGATATACAAAGTTCTTTTAAAAATATTGAATACGCATAAAGTATTCTCACCAATTCACAGTAAAAAGTAACTATCAAAAGGAAAAGCATTATAAAGAGGAAAATGCCAAAGTAGCATTTTGTTCTCTTTGAATTTTTTTGGTTATTTAAAATCAAAATGTATACTCCAGAATAGATTTCTTCAGTTAATTATATGCTAATAAAAGAGTAGTACAAAAAAAAATGAATACGCAATTCTTTAGGAGTTAGCAAGTTTATCAATAATTAATAGGAAATAAGTATCTCGATACGCATATATGTATATAGATATATTTGTAAGAAAATATTTTTAATCATTCTTTAAAAATGTTCCATTCTTAGGGACTAAAAAATCGGTGTAAAATAGAATGATATCATACAAAAAAACGTTTTAGAAAAAAAATTCTTCATATTTTTTTGCGCACGAAAATAAGGTAATACAAATCAATAAAGATAGAAAATGATACTAAAATAAACCAAAAATTCAAAGTATAACATTAAAAACTAGTCTCTGAAAGATGACGTTGTTTTGCATACCCATAAGAGTAAATTATGTTTTTTTGATAAATACTTAACTGAAAATTTCAGACAACCTTTAATCCCTGAAAAGGAAATGCCATTGCCACTATCGTAGATTTGTCCTTCACTCATAAATGTCATTATACAAATAAAAGCCTAATATTGTTGTTGCCGCAAATTGAAAGACATTCTAGTTCTTAATGACATTACTTCATACTATTTAGAGAAGATTCTCTGCTTATTTCTATCTACACACGTATGTGCGATGATAAAGAAAGGAAATCCCCGCAATCTAAAAGTTTTAGATTAAGGATTGTCAACAGTGATATATTATTTATCAGCATTACTGGTAAAAAATCAATATCTAATAATTAGAATTCACAATAAACGATAAAAAAAAAATTGGGAAAATGCAACTTGGATTTTAAACAAAGCTCAAAAAATATCATAATTAACTATTTGTTATTTCACTCCCCTTCTTCACCTTGAGATTCGGATTTCTGAAGAATCCTTTTTGGTCATTTTTTCACCCATTAGTGAGCGTTAAAATAACATCCCGTAGTAGGGGGACATTTGTCAGGAATTTTGCTAATAAGTATATTCCTTATATTATTTCCTACACGAATAAATATGTATTTAAACAACACAAAAAAAGATTGTCTTTATTTAACGACCATATTTCGATCAGACGTATTCAGTGACGAATATTGTTGCTAACAAATTATAAATAAAGGCTTTTTATTGTAATTAATAAAACTGAAAGCAATTAGAGTCTTACGGTCAATATTAATGTCAGAGATCAGCAGAATAAAAACTATTTATGTATATACACATGTATATAAATAAATAAACGCTTAAAATAGTGAGGACGCTGATAATATTTACCTCTTATTTCCAGACTGAGATGATATCTAATGATAAATGAGTTTTTTTTTGAGTATGAAATAGATAACAAAGGCAATGAAGGTAATTCAATACATAATGTTTATGATGGAAATTTTCAGATGCTTGAGTTGCAAGACTAAGCGCAAAATTTCCTCCAAAAAAAATCTGTACAATAAATATCCTTTAGTGAGCATAGATGCTATATAAAAGAATCTGTACTTTTATACGCTAAAGTTAAGAAAGTATAAAACGCTGTTTTAGAGATATTAAAAGCCTCGATATTAATATTTGGTCGAAAAGCCATTGTTGAAGCAATTTCATATTATTATTTTCCAGCTAGAATTCTCAAAGGTAAGGAACCAATGACTACAAAAAAAGGATATTTAGAGAACTTATGAACCTAAAAATTGAAAAGATGGTAAGTATCAAATGGATATTTACTGATCCTATTCATCGTCACTTCTCCAAAATGCAATAACTATGCTTTCGAGAAGTATTTTAGTCTCCAGAATCAAAATATAGAATAAAACGCATAGCAGAGGGTTAAAATAAGTTGACTATATATATTGAAGGATGTTGAGCAGCCTCCATTGATATTATAATAATAAATATGCATAGCAGTCTCCTAAATTGAAGTCTGATCTTGACTTTTCCATTTGCGCCATTGGAAAAGCTCGAAAATTTTATAGCCTATCGGTGTGTCGTGTTGATTTCTCATTCCCGAATAGGACCCTAAAATCTCACTGGCACTTAATAGCGATTGCTCTTTGTGTCGCAAATCCTGATTGCAACTGCATTGATCTACGAACGTAGGGAGTAGAATGTACCCTGAACTTCCCTGTTGAGGGTGTAAGACCCTGTCCTTGTGCCGGTTACAGGAAATCCCTTGAGTCCTGCTGAAGGGACGCCACCCCGGCGGCACGGTGGGATGTAACCCGAGCGTGGATTGCATTGATAGACTAGTGGATAAGGTCAACAGAGGGGCATGCGGCATTGTTAGAGGTGTACGACACTTTCTTGCGATATAAATCAGTTCGCAAAGACCGCTGACAGGGTCATATCAGAGGCACCTTCATCGAAAGCGGTAGTCTTTTTGGCGATAATCATCAGGATTACATTGATAATTTGGAGAAAAAAGAAAGAATGGAGTTGAGGCGGCACCACAAGTATCATTGCAATCATTGCACACCTCCGTCGGGACTTCATAAAAAGGAGGCCCTTCAGAACCAATGATCGTGCTACCATGAGATATAGCGGATGTGTCGGTAAGAAAAGGCATTCGACCCAAAGAGGCGTAGCTGGGAACTTTCCCTGGCATCGACGAAACAGGGCAAAGGTTAACCGTTGGAGGACAAAATTTCGCTGAACGATTCATATCACTCACATAAGCAGGTGTTAAATGTGGATTTTGAGCGTTAAAAGAGAGATTATGGGGCATTTGAGCTGGGTTCTCCACTGTAAATTGTTGTAGATGAGTGGGTGAAACTATATAAATCTGAGATGACGAATTTGTTAGGGGTATCCCAACTGTACTATCATCGACGTCAGTATTGAGGTGAGAGCCTTGTAGTACAAGTTCAAAAGCACTTTTTGTCAAGCTCATAGTGCTGTCATCAAAATGAATCGGTACCGGTGCTGAAGTGTTAAGGATAGCGTTACTGGGAAAATGTAAATTACAATTCTCTGATACATCATTTGCAGTACCTATTGTACCCAGATTGTTTGAATGGTTTACAGTGTTTGGATTTTTAGTACCAACGCCCTGAGGCCATATACCCATTGAAAAAGGGTCGGTTAAAAGGGATAGGTCCTTGTCTTCCACATTTTTACTCATACCATCTTGATGGTTCCACGTCTGGTGTGAATTCATAATTACCTCATTGCCGGGTACAATGAAAGCACTCTCAATAGAGCTGTTATCTCGCTCATATGTATTTGCTACAACACCTGTAGCTCCTTCCATTTGGTCCATATAGAGGATATTCCTTGCAATTCCACATGGTTTCTTGTTGAACGGGTTGAGCTCCACAGAAGAATTCAAAGTATGTGGAAAGGCTAGATTTGTGTCAGAATTCTTTATCTCAAGGTAATTGCTTTGAGGCTCCATGTGATTTCCTGCGAGACCTACAGGTTCCTCTACTAAAAACTGTGGTTGTTCTTGAGAAAGCCCATATTGCAAAGGGATTGACATCACAAGGTCCATTGGATTAATGCAGCCGATGCTGGAGTCGGAAGGTAAGGGTAGAAAAACTTGTGAGGCGCTGTAGGAGTACGGCAAAATATCAACCCAAGCGGCTGAGGGGTGTACTAGTGTGCTGTTGTCGCCTTTGATTGGAAAGGATGATGAGGGAGCCTGTGGTAATTGGTACATTGGAGGTGGTGGCTTGCTACTTTCAATTTGTGGGCCGCTAGATGAGAAGTGTAGTTGATGCAGTTTTGGTGAACATTGGGGAGAAGACTCCTTGTGAGACTTTATCGCTGGGAAAAAATCAGGTAACAGGTTATCACTGTTAATCTGAGTTGTGCACTGCTGGGGGTAGGCGGAGGGCTCATTTCTATTCATATCTTTGATGTTTTCCACCCGTTTTTGTTGTGGATGGCTGAGTTCTTGAATTTTTTGATCATCCTTTTTAGAATTCCTCGCTATTGTTGTCAGGGTAGTGGTGGCAGTGTTATTTCCGCTTTGTTTGACGGTTCTCACACGATTTGGGTCAAATCCACGAGCAGCGATTAGCATCGTGCCAGCTTTCCCTCGATGCAGTGTGTACTTGCGATTGTCTGGAGTAGTGAACACTCGAACAGAGCTCGATTGTTTTTGGAGCAACAATCGTGTTAACTCAGTTTCTTCTTGTAATAAACGCACATGCCTCAATAAACGCTCTGTATTAGGACCAAGGTAGGTGCGCGCTTTTTCCTTTTCACTATTTCGCCAGTTCGAAACTATCATATCCTTTTCTTGGAGAACACAACGTACATCCATAGCCTCGTTTTTAAACTTGTATTGAGTCCAGCATCCATTCGAAAAACGTAAGGGGTGGCAAAACAAAGAACCCAGCCAAAGCGCAGCCTGGCGGAAGAACCTGGAATGAAGTAGAATTACGACACCAGAATCGGGTGTGACGATACATGAAGAGGGTTTTACAGCACCATTTATGACTGACATAAGCCTGTTGGTATCACACGCATTATCTTTAGCCACGTCCAGGGCCTCGTACTGGGTACTATAGCTATCGCTAACTGAATCTGTCTGAAGCGTGTTGGTGATTCTAGTATTGAGATCTGCCATTACTTTCGATTTTTCAGCTCTATCATCAGTAGATTCTTCCAGATGTATTTTTACCGTATGGACTGCAGTCACCGGCTTAGATGGTGAGACTTCCTTACTGTTGTGGTTAGCGTTTTTCTTTGATGTACCCTCTGCTTTCTCAGACATCCTGCTACCTGTATATTTATCTAATTCAGGGAGATTAACCAGAGTCATTGTCATTTCATTAGGGTCAATATCCACTTGAGTATGCATAAAAGCAAAATTTTCTGTGAGAGACTTGAGTGCAGGGTAGTTGTTGCTGGATAATTCAATCGTAAGTGAGATGCTGTCGAGGCGACGAATAAAGCTCCACGAAATAGCATCCTCTTCAACATTGGTAATTGGTATTCCTGTGTACGGATCCGTCACTTCGTTATAGACTGTACCCGTTGTGCTTGGGCAACGGAAAAAGAGATTTTCACTTTGCTGATTCAATTGAAGAGACGCTTTAAGCTTTTCAGAGGGGCATGAAAGACATTTTGAACCATCCTCCGAATCAATAGGGTGTGGTCCATTTTCGTCTGTTGGGGCGGGCCGCTCGTGCCCCTTCCCCTTGGCATAGCACTGTGTCCAATAGGTACCCAGCGTAAATGCACCGCATGGCAGCGGTGAAAAAGCCATGAACATCAAAGGGTCCATAAAGCCCCCTTCACCCACTTTGTGGTTGAGGCCTTTCGGTGTGCGTGGGGTGTTGGCGGTAATGCTTTCGTTTAAAGAGATGGATGTAGGAAGCCCTAATATTTCGTATGGGCAAGATTCAAACAACTGTGAAGTCGCTGTTGGCTCTCCAGTATTAGTGGTTTGAAGAGCACGAAGTCGATCACGCAGTTTTTGATTAATCAGCAAACGGCGATGAACGGCGTGAAATTGCTGCCGGAGCATTACCGGAGCTAATATGAGAACCCGCTCCAAGGTCCGATCCCCGGCTGAAGTCAAGACGGAAGTATAAAAATTGAGATCAATTTTTCCCTCTGAGCGCTGTGTGTGAGCACTCGATTCGACTGACGCGGTCTCCTCCGGTGTAATGGAGTTGCGCGCGGAAACCTCGTCGCTTGCGAAGACCGTGTTTGCCCCCGTGCTCGATCCAAGCTTTTCGACATTTATTTCCGTATTGCGCTTTGTCACCTTGAAAGCCACTTGCATTTCCTTCGTCATACAACCAAAATAGCCAATAATATTTATATTTCGGCCTTCTAAAGGAAAGCAACCTCGTCGTTCCTTCACAGAAGGGTAAGTGAGACATAAGGCGCACGGTGTAGGGATGAAAGCACGTGGTTGGTGCTTTCGCGGGATTGCGGTGATGTCTCTGTCTGTGGTGGTGGAGTGATGGTTGACCCTTTCCTCCTCTGAAGAGGCAGATGCTTCAGCCCCAATGGCGTAGCGGGGATCGGTGAGCATGTCTTCATTGGTTTGGTATAATTCTTTTTCAACAAGTTCCAGAAAGTTGTCAAGATCCGCCTCCGTGAAGTTTGGCTCTGGCATTACATTCCAGTAATTTTCTAGAAGCGCCGCATTATCGATGTCGGGTGGGATTAGCTCATCTTTGGAGACCACGGATTTATTTGAAGTCATTGATATTGAAGAGTTCCCCTCATTTTTGTGTTTTCGTTTATTATCTGACTTTGGTACAGACTTTGACAGCCCATCTTCACGTGAACAATTATTGGCACTACTGGCGTTTGAACCGGAAACCGAAGTTACTTCGGCTTCCTGAAATATGGTGCCATTATGCAATGCCTTCTGGTCGTCATTAACATTAGAGAAATTTTTAGATCCCTTTTTATTTTGTAAATGAGCTCTAATGGTTCGTATCATGTTATCTGTATCCCTCGCATTCGAATATAAGACCGCTGGGTCACTGCGCATTTTTAATAGTTGGGATCGCAACTGCTTTCGATTAATCACATCCACAAATGGCATAGAGTGTCGTTCGTCAACTGGTATAGGATATTTTGGCCATTTTGTTGAATCTTCAGTTTCCTGAAGGTGTGATACGTTGTCGTTCGTTGTGCCTTCGTTTATCTCCTCAACATCACCGAAGAAGTGTTTTGTTAAAGGAATAAGGCCAACTTCATAAGTGCCTCTGAAAAACGAAAACAAACAATTACTCTCCTTAGATGGGATCGCACCCATTTTTCTCTTACAATGAATAAGAATAGATATGGGGCTAGATTCAAAAAAATACAAAGAATGAGCAAGGAGACTAAAGAATCAAATTAGAAGACTTCAGTTCCTTTTTTAAGGTATATGCAAAAATGAGTGTGTTAAAATGGTAATGAACATATAACTAAGAGATTTTAAGTCACTAATGCATGCTTTCGAAATTTTACACTTCAGATCAAGAAAGGAAAAATATATATTAAACGGCATAGTAACAATTAACTTTGAAACATAAAATTATATTAAATGATAAAGTTAATAATAATAAAAAAGAAACACGGTAAGAACCTTTCGGCACCCACATGTCACGCAAAATAGAACTCAAAAAAAGTATATACTTCAATTTATCAAGAAAATAAGATCAAACAGATGAATCGATATTATACAAAGGACACATCTTATTTGTCTATTATATAATTCGGGCTCAAATTCATCTAAGAAAAAATATTAATCAATAAAGGAATGTAAAAGTTGGTATTATAGGGTAAAAGAACATATATAAGGTATTATTATTTATCAATAAAGATATGCTTATGTATACACGTAAATATTTTTTATATCAAAAAAATTCCTCAGAACTGATTCGAATTAATAGAAAAATATTTGTCCTTCTAGCTTTTAGTATTTTTTCGTTCTTATTAATGGTCGTTATGCATTTTATAGAGAATGCTTAGAAAACCGGAGGCTAAGCTATCCACGCCAAGAACGAATAGCTCATAATTATGAGATGACAACAAATAGGGAATAAGTGCTGCCTAAGATTTGGCGTTAGTTGCTTTCTAGAAATTTTAAGAAATTAGATGAAAATTGGTATATATGAGAATTATCCTTACCAGTGTATATTTAATATCGAGGTAAAAAGGAGCTAAAATTAAATAAAAGTAAAAGGATCAAATAAAACGAAAAAAGAGACAAATGTAAAATGTATACTATGTAAGAATATATGTTTACTAAAATATGTGGTGAAAACAAGCTTTGAAAAGAAATGAGAGAGTATTGCCAAAATAAATAGACCTTATAGTCGTATAAGGTAGTGGAATATCGCTGTAAAATGTGCAAAAATAATCGCTTTCCTCGTTATTTGTGATGTCTTCAGGACGTGGCAAGATAAAGAGAATAAGAAGTGGCTATTCCGTTCGCACTGCCTTTTGGAATAATAATTTATAATGACAATATATATATATATTATATATATATTGTTATAGAATAAAACAGAATTGATAGTGATAACAAAAAAAGATGAGAAAGGAGAAGGAGTGACTATATTAAAAACAAAATTGTAGAAATAAAGGAAAGCATACATGACAATGTTAATCACGGGGTGTCATCCAATCCAACACGACTACTCGCTTTATTTAGTAAAGATGTCTCTAACCTTGACGTCAAAAGGTAAGCACTTGTGGGTTAAAAAAATAGTACAAACTGAAATTTTATATATCAGTAGTTACTTCAGTCCAGTATATAGACTAACTATGACTGAGGCCACTCTAGGGTTTATATAGACAGAGATCAAAAAGTACAAGGATTTATATTACCCCCCTCCATGACCAGCAAATGTACTTTTTGAGGAGATAAAGGGAACTCTGCATATAAAACGATAAAATGGGTACAAAGTGATGATAAATTTCTTTCAATAAATACATCTTCACCTTTTGTACAAGTTAAAGAATGAAAATATCCATGTATTTTCCCACATTTTAGTAAGTTCGCAGGATAATTATGACTTAGTGTTTATATGTTACATTTTTTATCTTTCTAAATAATGTGACTCATTCATCCAAGATATGCAAATAACATTACATTAGACTAGCTAATTAGAAAGTCGTTAACTGAACTATCTTGAGTAATATTTTCATAAGATATTGGTATATACTTCATCTAGACAAAAATAATGATCAAATTAAAAAAGATCGTCCTATAAGAAGAACGATTTACCCACCTTTTCCATTTTAGAAAAAGTATTCTAACTTCAGGTTTACAAAGTCAATAATGACTGTAAGTCTCAGTGTGACATCATTACTCCTTTCAACAAAAAAGAACATTATACAATTAAAGACTAAAAAAGGGATTCAATTATTAATTTAATTGACAAAATGTTTGGATGAAATAGCAAAGAGCCAAACAGACTAAAGGGATGATTCAAAATATTAAGTGTTTAAATAAATACAATGTTAAGGACAACATACCGTAACATCCAAAGATTTAAGAAAAAAATGTTTGGATGCGTAGCATAAAATCGAATAAGCTTCAAGAAAAAAAGACACTCAAGATAAAAGCAGCGTGCCGGTTATACAAAAAGAGAATAATGATAAATAATGATAATGATGTAGAGATAAGCTGTCTAAAATAAATTCATTTTTTCTTTTGAAGGTTCATTGGGAAAAAAAATTTATACTTCCCGAAGAACGGTCAATTAATTACAACATTACTTATCACTGAACGTACACCATGAGAAGCGCTTTTTGTAGTGCAGGAAACTTAGCTTTTGCAATTGTTAAAAGATAAAATGCTTCACTCAATAAATAGATGAAATGAAAAAAGAAACACACATAGATAACAATATCGCCTGTTAATAGTGTGCTTGGTATTTTCTTTAAACATATAGAAAAACATTATATTCTCCACCTGCCCAATGCAATCAATGTTTTTTTGCCACACAGCATTCTCTGAATTTAATAACTCAGGGTGGTAAATTTTTAATTCCACAAAAGAAGAGCTAAGCACAAAAATATGTATTTTGGAAATATTAATACAAAATCAACGAAGATTATTCAAAGGGAAATTTTTCCGCCTTGGTAAATTTGTTCATCAATCCCAGCGGCAATAAAAAGGATTTTGCTGATGGGGTTGATACTACAAATAAAATCATTATTTGATGAAATAATCAATTGGTCTAAAATCAAGAAAACAGCATCAGTTTCAATAAAAGGATAGGTATAGGTTAGAACAGAAACCATATATGCTTTAATTTATAGCGATTTCTTTCTACAAAAAAAATCAATAAAAAAGCAGTATTCAAACATACGGAAAAAGAAAAGATCAAGAAAGAGTATGTCGATAACTTATGTTGCAACAAAGATGTGTGAACAGTGATGTGCTCTGTTTTATAGCATTAATGAGCATACTGGGGGAACAAGTAGCATCTACACTCTAAAAATAGACATATCGTCTATGGTTTTAGATCCTACGCTTGTGTGTTTCAAAAAATTAATGACATTTGTGATTAGGTCTGCGTGAAGCATATTTTATTTTCTTTCCTTTTCATAAAACATGTTTCGAAATTCGGTTGGCAAGAATTATACATGCACGCAACTAAAAAAGAAATGCCTAAACAGAAAATTGGATTCTGCTTGCATCTGGATGGCGTACTTTTTCCATTTATCTCGTTTCTCCTGTTTGAACTTAACAGACTACAAGCATTGCAGTAAAGTTTCAAAAAAAGCAAAAGGATAAAAGGGAAAAGAAATCAATATATAGAATTCCATTCCCTATGAATGCCTTTTGTGCCTTGCCTGATTTCCTCTTCGATGCTCGTTTACATCGCATGCATCACTTCTCCCCATCGCTCGGTATTCTACCAATATCTTTATCATTACATCTTTAACGAAACGTATGTAGGGGCTACCCAATTTAAGAATTAGTGAAAAGCGGTCATAATACGCCCGTCAGAAAGCATCACGTAATTCGAATGGAAAACGGGAACTTGCTGTTGCCCTGGAAGATAGACCGGGAGCCCAGAGGACGGCATCGTCGGTAAGGATGTGGGATAGGACGAGACCCCATTGTCGGTGTTGGAATTTCCTACAAAAGGGTACATGGGGGGCATCAAAAACGGCGACATCTCCGTCGTCGGGGCATTCGCATCGTTGTAGAGCCCGGAATTCGGCTGCGTGGCGTTTCGCGCGCCCCCCCCCTCCCCCGGGTTCGACGGGGAGGGGGAAACGGGGACGAAATACATCGCGTTGTTGGTGGTACCGACTGCGGCGCCGCTCGGACTGCTGCTCAAATTCGACCCCTCCGTCTCCTTCGCGGTGGGAGGGGGAATGGTTTGGGGGCTCATCGGGCCGACGACCGGGTTCGCATTGCCCCCTCCACCCCCCACCGCCCCGAAGGCATTCAGGCCGGGGTAGTAAATCATCGGGAGAGAGGTGTTGGAGGCGGCAATCGAGGTCCCGGACATCATCACCCCCGGCATGTTCGAAAAGGTCTTTTCCGAGGAAGAGGACATGGAGAGGTCCCACACCCCGGGCGTCGTGCCGTGCAAGAGCGGCATCGGGAACATATTGCCCCCATTCACCGGCATCGGCGTCGTCATGAGCATATTACTGCCGTTCGCGGAGAGAACATAGCAGTTCATCGAGCCGACGGGGGCCGAAAGCGAGAGGGAGCCCTCCCCCCCAACGTTCGGTCGCGGGGGATCCATCATATAGGTCAT